TCTCCCTCCCCTCATCTCTTCTTATTTTTCTTATTATTGATTTATTCACCCTACATCATCTTAGCTTAGCTTTGATGTATTATAGAGGAGTTGCTGAGTAACTACTCATCGCCCGACCCTTGGACTTCATTATTATTTTCATACTCTGTATCTCATTTCAAAACCTAAATACGCCTGATACATAACCCTGATCTATTTATGCGTGTCTTTATGCACTAATTCAATTTGTGCCATAACATGATTTTTCATTATTTCTTTTTAAAAGGAGCATCTTGCTGTTCTTTCTTGTTGTGATTTCTTAGATGCAAATAAAATTACAATTTTTGAATGTTAAAGCCTATGCCTTGCAGGCATCCTTTGATTGGGCAAAAAAAAGGGTGTAGGAGCTTCAAGCACATGGTAAGTTTCATCTTTTTGATTGGGCAAAGGATGGCTTCAGTTGCTTTTCAATTTTATGTTTGGACAATAAAACCTTTTCTTATTTGAGCTAGAACTGGAGCAGCCAAGTTTAATATCCAACTCTTCAATTCAGTTCAGAGATTTTTTTCTTTATTTTCTGCTTTACCCGTTCTGCTAAATTTCTACTGTGAAGAGATTAATATCATGCAATTGCAGGTTGGATAGGGACTCTCTAAGGAGGAGAAAGCTCAACAACTTGCCTTACGGCACTAGATTGAAGCTGTAAGTCATCTGAACCATTTAAGTGATTCTTAGATGTGGGATTGGCTTTTATCCAATTTTTAGCTTCCATTTATTCTAAAGTGTAAAATATGTTTATAGCGGACAAACTTGTAAAAATACTTTTGTCATTGGTTTACCCACTCTTGGGGATGGAAAAAAATCTGAACCATCAATATATTTGCTTCTGTAGGGCCTGTGATATTAATTATCATTATTTTTTGTAGATTGATCCACACCATGGGTATGGCACTATTTAATTTCTTTGACTAAACACGTAGATTCACATGTTAATTGATCTGGTTGAAATTCATTGAGGGATTGTCTCCAATGCATAGAAATATGTAAGAGAGATTTCGAAGTTCAATTCAACATACAAATGTAATATAGATACGTGCAAGAAGTTTGATGACTCACTGACATGAAAAATGGAACAAATCTAAGATTGTTTTGGTTTAACATTCAAATGTAAATTTATGTGTACAGTGTGGTATGTTTATACCCTTCTTATGTATTTTTCTTTATTAATTTTTTTGCTCCATAGTAGCTTTATTTAATTTTTTTTTGCTGTACATGGTAGTTATTACATTAGCAAATGTTTGTTTAACAAATATTTACTGTAGTTCTCAAGGTTCAATTTTTTTTTTTCCTTTGGATCCATTTCCAGACCAAATGGCCTGTGTAGCAGTTTGCTGCTATTTGCTATTGGCCAAACATACAGGTGACCTTAAAAATTTGATTTCAATTACCATAAAACTCCAAATTTTACCTACAAAGCTGTAATCTTTTTAGCTCTTCCTACTTTATTTTCTCACCCCCTTAATAATCAGGTAGATATTTGATTGTAAGGCGAAGCTTTTTGGGTTATTTCGTTGATTCAAATTTTGATGTTTGAGTTCTTGATTCTATGCAGATAATTAGCTTGAAGAAATTCAGTGAAAAATGAAATTGAAAAGGGTCAAGAAGAGAAAGACGAGGATGAAAAGTGCCACAATATCTACTAATAATGCCAAAGGTACCTACTTTTATAAGCGTACTAGCTGCATGTCTGTGTTTTCTCTCTGTAGGGGTTGAGTTTTGATACTTTTAGATTTTTTTAAAGGTAGAGTGAAATGGTTGAGGCAGGGTAGGAGACAATACCCCCCCACCCCAATTAGATTTTGAGATTTGCAGGTTAGTTACCAATGTCTTTTACTAAAAAAAAAAATATTAATTTTTTCATTCATGTTCAAAGAACATACCTTATGTTATAATTGATTAATAATCTTTTTACCCCCGTTTGTTGCGGATGATAGTGCATGATGCTTTAAATTCGACTCTTGATGAAGAAATGTTTGGTGATCCCAAAGTCATTTTATGGGTGAAGCGGTAATTTGGAAGTTGTAATTAGTTTGTGAAAATCCAATTTTTTTGCTTCATTGATTTAGTCTTTTGAGTTAGATGAGATTGTTTATTTCTCACCACAATGCAAGTTGGTGAGTATTAGGGTACATATAAGGTGAACTATTTGGTCCATGTTACCTCAATTTAATGTCAAATATTGACATAATTTTGTCCTTTTAAAACAATCAATTTTGGCTGACTTAATTTTGGTTTATATTTTCAAAGGGCTTTTGGAGAAGTACAACTCTGAAAGGGTTCTTGATACACCCATTGCTGATGTTGCTTTTTGTGATCTTATATAATTTTCTAAGTTGAGCTGGAAATTTCTACTCCTTTAACAATTTAAGAATGTTATAGGCTGGATTTGCTTGAATCAGCATTGGTTTAGCTTAGCGTGATCTGAGGCCTATCATTGAGTTCATGACTTTCAACTTCTCAATGCAGGTCAGAGTTCTTTTCCTAGGCTTTTATGCTTAAGAGCTTCTCTTTGACCCTCATGTTTGGTTTCTTTTCTATTATATTTTAGATAGTTAAATTACCATTGCTTGACCAATTGTAGAGATGAAGAACTTGGACATTTATACACTACTCATCATTCTAAGATCATCTAAAAGATTGCTTGTCTGACCCTAGGAATGCTATCATCATCTTCATATTTTAAATAAATTTCAAGAAAAATGTCATGGAGGTAATAAAACTATTTCTTGCAAGCCATAGACCGCATTATCAATTTTACTGCAAAATCAAACTACATGTCTGTCGATATAATATCAGTGCCTATTGTTATCAGAGGCCCAGAAGAGAGAATGGGGATTCGCTATTTATTTGTGCACTCTTCTTTTCACACTTAAAACTGGTTTCTCTACTGTTCACAAACTAGTTACTGCTCATACGTAAATATTCTTCCAAATAAATCTCACCACTTGGAGCACCAATTCATTTTGTTCAATCT